GGGATGGGGAGTGGGGAGTGGGGATGGGGATGGGGATGGGGATGGGGATGATGGGGATGGGGATGGGGATGGGGATGGGGATGGGGATGACCATAACCATGACCATGATGCCCATGATGACCATGACCATGCCCATGACCATAGCCACCGTGAACATATCCGCCATCTCACTTCTCTCCCCTCCCACCATGGCCAACATCGTCAATTTGGCGCCCGTCCGCGACGCGGCAGCCATCCTCTCCGCCGCCACCGACAACATCTTCCTCCCAGGCCGCGGTGTCGGCGACAACATCGCCGCCACCGCCGCTGCCATCGACGCCACCGCCGCCGCTGTCGACTCGTCCGCCACCGCCCTCGCCGCCTCGGTCGACGGCCTTGCCGCCGCCTCGTCTGATCTTGGCGCCTCTGTCGAGCGCATTCCCGCCGCCGCCGCCCACGCTGCCGCGCCCTACCTTCGCCCGGCCGTCTACGCCGCCGCCGTCATCACCGCTGCTATCCTCGCCTGCGCCATCGCCGCCGGCCTCCGCCTCGCCCACCTCGCCGCCCCTGCCGCCGCTTTCCTCCTTGCCCGCGCCATCTATGCCGCCCACGCCGCGCCAGCGCCCGCACCTGCGCCCACTTCGCCCTCACCCGTTGCCTCCGAGCTTGCCGCCGCCGCCACCGCGGTCGACGCTGCTGCTACTGCCGCCGCTTGGGCCGTCCTCGCCGTAGCCCTCGTCGCCGCCCCGCTCGCCGACGCCGTCCTCGCGGGCCTCGCTCCGGCCGTCCTCGTCGCCGCCCCGCTCGCCGCCGCAGGCTACGGCCTCTGGACCTCGATCGATGCGCTGCATGCCTCGGTTGACGCCCGCCTTGCTGCTGCTGCCGCTACCGCCGAGACGGCCCGGCCTCGAGGCGGCGGCGGCAGCAGCAGCAGCGGCGGCGGCGTCGGGCGAGGCGGCGGCGGCGGCGCTGGTCGACGCCGCTCGCGCCGATATGGCCGCCAAGCTCGGTGGCGCCGTCACGGCGTGGAAGCCGCTTCCGGAGCCGCTGGCCCTCGTTCTCTCGCCCTCGCTCGATGCCATCCACCTCCCGCCCGAGGTTGTCGCCGTCGGGCCGACCTGGCTCCGCCTCGCCGTCTCGGTCACATCGGGCCACGCCGTCGACGGCCGCGTCGTCCTCTCGGTCGTGGCTGTCGAGAGCGGCGAGCGCATCATTGTCCGCCATCGGCTCTACCATGCGAACGCATACAACTCGTCGTCGACCATCGCAGATCTGGCCCTTGGCGCGCAGGCCGCATCGGCCTCACTTGCCTTGGTCATCGACGGTCCGGCCGCGCCGCACCTCGACGTCGTCGTCGACCTGCTGGCCTACGGCTTTGACGTCAACCTGTAGCAGGCGCATGTCGCAAGCTGGAGCGCCCCCGCGTGTGTGCATGTGTTGGTTTACGAAAAGGATCTCTACGTCCGTGCAGCAGGCGCCGGCGGCGCCGGGAGCGCCATGATGGCGGCGACCTGCATGCGAGCAATGTCAGCGCCCTCGACCGGGTGCTCGTCGAGCCAGGTAAGGATTTCCTGGCTCGACTCGGCAACCATGGTATGGAGGGTGGCGAGCGCGTTGTAGCGGACCATGGCCGGGACGGGCTCGTTGGCGTCGGTCGGGCCGGCAAACGAGCCGGCCTCGGCGTCCGAGCCGGCAAAGAGCGACTGGGTGAAGAAGTTCTCGATCTTGGGAATGTTTGACTCGACGAGGTCATTAAGCTGGACCATAAACTCCTCCTTCTTGCCAAACTTGACGCCATTGGCCGCGTTCTGGATGACCTTGGCCACCAAGACGAGGTACCGGCGCTCGTCGCGCGAGACTTCGTCGCGCGAGATTAGGTATTCCTGCGGCGAGGTGATGGCCGGGCAGAAGAGGCGGAGGAAGAAGAACCCGCCCATGCCCTGCACCTCTTTGCTCGGGTACGCCGTCCCCACGGTCGTCGCCACGTAAGAGAGCACTTCCTTCAGCGAGCTCGGGCACCGTCCGGATGAGCGGTAGATCGACTCGAGGAAAGTCTGGCACGTTGTCATCAGCTTGTACTTGTTGACGTCCAGCGAGTCGGCATCGGTCAGCCGCGTCGGGTCCACCTCGAGGCCCGCTGTCCCTGTGTACCCGCCGTCGAGCTCGACCTCGTCGCCTCCTTCCTTGTTGCGCGTGCTGTGGACCTGGTTGTACTGGTACAGGCACTCGAGGACAAGGACTCCGATGGTCTGCCGCACATACTCCACCGCCCGGAGCTTGCCCCACGCCTGAAACAGCTTGGTCGCCGCCGAGTTCTGCCGGAACAGCGTTTCGGCGTTGAGCGTCACTGCAACCTCGTGCTCCACAAGCGCCTTGAGGAGCGAAAGTGTCAGGTTGTGCTCCTGCGTCACTGCCATCGCAGCCACAACTGCAGAGTACAGGTTGCGCTTCGGCACCACATCTGCGAGTGCCATGTACAGCGGGAGCGAGAGCGGGTCGGTCGCCACCACACCCTCCATCGGGGCGTACCGTGCCGACGAGCCCGACGTCGCCGCCACGCCCTCAAACATTGGCTCATTCCACCGTGGGAACATCCGCGCCCACCCGTCGCTCGCCAGCGGCGGGCACATCAGCGCCGCAAAGTCAACCGACTTGTTCCGCCACTTGAAGAACAGCAGCACCACAATGGCCACCACAAGGAAGAGAAGCAGGCCGCCGCCGATGCCGGCGTACAGCGCAACCGACGAGCTCGACTTGGGATCGGCAAGCGCAGGCGTAGCCGCAGGTGATGTTCCCGACCCGGCCGGCGGAGCCGGGTCAGAGCACCCAGGCGGGTTAATGAGCCCGGCCGCGCACGTCTCGCACGACGTGCCGTTGGTTGTCAGGCACGTTGCACACTGCGATGCGCAAATAGCCGCACACGCAGGCGCGTTGGCAAATCCGGCTGTGCACTCGGTGCACTCGTTCTCGTCCGCGACAGTGCACTTGGTCGCCGCGCACTTGGACGCACAAGACAGCGAGCACGTCGGCACATTCTCGAACCGAGGCAGGCACGCTGTGCAAGACGTCGCCGAGCCTGAACACTCGGCACACGGGCTCTCGCACGGCACGCATGCAAGTGCCGTGGCGTTGTAGAAACTGCCCGAATTGCAGCTACATGAGCCGGCACTTGAACTCGCGATCGGATTCAGGTCGCTCGTCAGCAGAGAAATCTCTGCCGCAGTCAGCTCACGGTTCCACATCGCAAGGTTGTCAATCCACACCTCGCTGCGGAACGAGGTAAAGGTCGGGCCCCAGAAGCCGAGCGGCGCTGCATTGCCAGCTGGGAAAGAAGATGTAGAGAAGTAGCGGTCGTTCTGTCCCAAGACAAACTCGGTTGGGGTGAGCTGAGCAGTGTCGGCGATGTTGTTCAGAGTGTTGACCACGCCACCATGCACGGTGCCATTGATGTACACAAAGCCAGCGTTCGCTGCCGTCTCCGAGGCACGCTTCCAGGTCACGGTCAATTGGGTCCACTCCAACAACGAGTTGCGATCAATGTTGATGTCTGAAGAAAACACTACTGTATCGGCCGCAATGACGATGACGCGCACGTTGCCACCTGACATCCCCAACATAATGCACATGCCTTCGTTGCTGGCAACAGGTGTGATGCCTCGGGAGGGGCAAAACAGACCCATTCTTGCGTTCGACTCACTGCCGCCAGAAAACTCGATGTCGACCAGCTTGACCCACAACGAGATGGTCGCCTGCTTAACGTACTCGGAAGTTGTGCCCGACTCGCCCCAGAGCAGAGGCTCGGCCACAGGCTCCCCGTTCGCGAGGCGATGCGCAGCCATGACCGTAGTTGGCGGTGGTGACGAGCCTGAATGCTGTGTCACAAACGCCACCGCTTGTCCCGCAACACCTGCCGGGAACGTCGGGCTGCCAGCGAGATTGAACGGCATGGCTGCGCCAGGCGCGACCGAGTTAGCCGTGCCCTCCATGGGAAAGTAGGCAGCAAGACCGTCGAGCAGACCAAAGTTGTACGAGCCACCAGCACAGCCCGGAGGCGTGTACGTCACTGTTCCCACCACCACCATCACCATCATCCCAACCACGCCATGACAAGCACACCCATATGTGAGAGAGTGGGGGAGTGGGGGGGGGGGGGGAGGGAGAAGGGGGGGAGGGGGGAGGGGGGGAATCGCTGAAAAAGGCCGAAAGCGGCAATTGCCGCTATTTTGCTACCGAAACGGGAGAAGGGAGGGGAGGGGCAGGGCAGGGGGGGGGGCATGCAAGGGGAAGGGGAAAGGGGGGGGGGAGCGAGAGGGAGGCAAGGTTGCGTATGTGGGGGGGTAA